TTTTAAATTTTCTATTTAATTAAACAATTCCCATGTTTCTATGTTGCTTGGTTATTTATTTATTTTATGTTAAAATGTGTACAATAATTTATGACCACCCTGTATTTTATTCTATGAAAAGAATTTTGCTTTCTCCGTTATATTACTAATGGTTAGTTTCTAAAACAAGGTATAGTTTACAAAATAATTCATCGATAGTGCTAAAAAAACACTATATATATAAAAATATTAGCTTAGAAACATTACTTTATACACGTCAGGAATAAAACTAAGAAGTTTTTAAATGAGCGGTCGATCGGTATATGTCCTTCAATTTTTACCATGGATATTTTTATGAACTTATTGTTCATACCATGTGACTAATATTTTTTTACATAAAAAATAATCCTACTAATATTATAAATGAGAAAGTTTGGATGTATGGATGTATGGATGGATGTTTGTGACAAGTGAACGCGAAAAATACTGGTCGGATTGGGCTGAAATTTGGCATGATGATAGCTCACATTCCCGATTAACATATAGGCATATTATTATTTCAAAAATCCTTTCGGGCTCCGCCCCAGTGGCTCTGGAGTTTCTCATGTTAACCTTATGAGAAATGGAATTATTGAATCTTAACAGCTGTTTCAATTAAACAAGTTGGTTCTGTTCTATGATGTTCAATAGCATTAAAGTTACAAGGATTACCAACAGGGTGCAGCACTATTATTTCTTTTACATTTATGACAACAGCTAATTTGCAACCAAAAGGTGAGTGAGCGTAGCGAACGAACTTCAACCTGGAGGCAAGTGAGCGCAGCGAACGAGCTCCAACCTAAAGGTGAGTGTGCGTAGCGAACAAACTTCAACCAGGACGTGATTGAGCCATGCGAACGAGATAATCTTGAAAATTAAGAAGTTAAACGGGGCAAAGCCCGCGGGTTACAGCTAGTATTTCCATAAATGTCAATAAATATAAAACCAAGACAAATTATCATTAGCTAGAACACCAACCTACAGAAGCACATTTCAAATAATATGCTGAGGTCAATTCTGCAAGTCTAGCACAAATTTAAAGTGTTAAGTAAGTTTTGACTCAAGTTCGTTACAAAAATAGTCCAACGGTTTTAGTAAAAATACATAAAATCGTTGAACTATTAGTTGTACACGGTTCATTACTTAGGTATCACGTACAATAGATTATTTAGTATAGCACAAAAGTATATAAAACCATCGTGGACGCATTTATCGTTTCTAAAATATTACAGATAGTATTTATGCAGTCTTATCAACATTTGAAGGTATACTACTTCAGGGATGAAATACATTAAAACTACCCTTAACACTCAAGTACCGTTGAAAACATCAAAATACAGTTCCACGTTCAAAGACAAGGCATCGCGTTTAATCTAGAACGAAAGTATTCGAAACTATCTTTGACACAATAGTAATGTATCGTTTCTACCACATATCAGGAAGTATGTTGCCTCATAAACTTATGTAGGTATGCTACTTCAGGGACATATTTTCAAAATACTCCAAAAATAAACCCAAGTACCGTAAAAATATACTTTTACGATGAAAGACAAGGTTAATTGATAACGAAAGTATTGTAAACTATCGCGGATAAAACTGTAATGTATCGTTTCTACCATATCACGAAGCAAGTAGTCTTATCAACCTAAGGTATCTACATAGGTATACTTCTACCTAGTTACATAAATCTAGCGATTTAATCTACTAATGATGTAATTTGAAAACGAAGATCATATTTGTTGGTGAATAGTAACTTAGGATTTTCTTGACACTTACGTGTTAAAATACCACAAAACTCAAGTTCCGAACTCAAAATACACTCAAAAAGATCAAACAACTCACCGATCACACTGAGCCGCTCCAATTCGCGGGTAAACAGCAAGTTGAACACTAGACAAACACTAACACACACACCACGCTGGAGATGGACCCTGGAAGTATGTCAAGGAGTGGTCTAGGACAGTGGTCGCTAGACGGCGTGGCGTCGGCCGGGGAAACCCCAGGGAGGATCACAGTTCCGGAAACAGAGGGTGGGATTTACCCCGCCAGGTAGAAGGTTCAGGACTTCCCAGCCCAGACAGCTTGTCGCCAGACCACGGGTGCGATCGGGTGGAAACTTTCTATACACTGTTTGGAGAATGTAGAGTTAGAAGTTAATTGTTGGGAGAAAATTTGCTTACAGGGTGTTTTACGCGACAAATAATTTACAACTACGTCAAGACATGTGTTTTCTTGATTTTATCGTCGATCAACATTGCATTTTTGCATATAATGCATTTAAAAGTTGCTCGACAATTAATAGACAAGTTGCTATAGGAACTGATTATATGTAAATAGCTTGTTTTGTTTGGTGATGCGTTAGTAATAGAACTCTTTCTAGCGTCATGGATGTTCAAGGATGATTAGGGTAAATAATATTTAAATCTCGTTATTGCGTAGTACGAATCGTGATAGGCTTTGTATATAACGTAGTATAAATAGAAATGCTACATATGTATACATGCTATAGATGTAGATCTTTGTTTATCTCTCATATGTACATAACTATCACTCATCTCTTTATAATCTAAATCTATAAAAGAGGAAGTATGTATTTATGTATCCTATGGACTGTGAAATCACTCGACAGATTAGAATGAAACTTTCAGGCATTATTAAGAATTATTCAAGGATGGTTTGTGTGAAGTTTGGTGCAGATCCGTCAAAAGGGCTCCGCCCCAGGGGCTCTGGAGTTTCCCATGTTAACCTTATGAGTACTCATATTTAAATGTAATTTAAGAATCTTAACAGCTGGTTCAACTAAAGAATTTAATTCTGTGATGTTCAATAGTATTAAAAAGTTTATAGGTTTACCAACAGGGTGCAGCACTATTTTTTTTTTTTTTATTTATGACAACAGCTAATTTGCAACCAAAAGGTGAGTGAGCGTAGCGAACGAACTTCAAACAGGACGTGATTGAGCCATGCGAACGAGCTCATCTTGAACAAGAACGAGCTTTTGACATAAAACCACAGGACAGGACGACGTCTGTCGGGCCAGCTAGTCTAAATCTATAAAAGAGGAAGTATGTATTTATGTATCCTATGGACTGTGAAATCACTCGACAGATTGCAATGAAACTTTCAGGCATTATTAAGAATTATTCAAGGATGGTTTGTGTGAAGTTTGGTGAAGATCCGTCAAAAGGGCTCCACCCCAGTGGCTCTGGAGTTTCCCATATTAACCTTACGAGTACTCATATTTAAATGCAGAATCTCAACAGCTGTTTCAACTAAACAATTTGATTCTGTGATGATCAATAGCATTACAAAGTTACAAGGTTTCTTAACAGGGTGCAGCACTTCAACCAAGCAGCTGTGATACAAAATGAGAACTGTCAAAGTAGGATTGTTTACAGTTATGTTTATGTTTCTAATTTAATAAATACTTTTTGATAGTGTGCGAATAAGGCGTTTTATTTTTTTTATGTGCGTGATTCATTAATTTATTGACTTTCTTTTTTCCAAAATGTTTATAAAAACCTGTAGTGTTTGAATGGTTTATTCCCCCAAAATAATGTCTGGGAAACAAAGTAGCCAGTTAATACTTTTATTTGATTACTAAAAGTTTATCTACATACAACAGATCTATGGAATAATTGATAATTATTTTCTTAAGCGTTCTCTTCCCGTTGCAAAGTACGGGTATGACGGCTAGTTTTGTTTAGCATAAATAACACTACGTTTCCACTGTAGCATAAATAGTCTTTCCCTTTATAATGTAGCATTGTACCTCTTTATTCTGCGCTGACACGTCGAAACGTCTCCCGAGAGACTTTCAGAGCCACGACTCTTTGAAACCCCATAAAATGCTGTTCTTATTGTCATAACTTCGACACGGACAAAACCCATTCTTGGTGGAGTTCATTGACAGAATGGACCCGGTCCATGCGACAAACGTTACCATAAACAATGCTGTTATTGTGGCTACGCGGTCGACACGAGTCGTAAAACACGCGCGCACGCACGCGCATGCGCAGTGCTTGCTCGGTGCGCAACGCCGGGTGTCGTATTGCTTACGCAGTACTATAATGACTCACTGAGTGTAGCTAGTGACGCGTCGCTATTGTTTTGAGTGAAAAAGTCTAACAATGGAATTTGTGTGAAAAAGTGTTGGAATAAATGGTTCATGGAATAATTTTATCGGCTTATTCAGCTGTCGGAGAGTTGAAGATCTTGAAGAATTGAAGAATTGAATTGAAGAGTTGAAATCTCTATCTCTTCACATATAAATATACAGCTTCCAGTTTCACTCTCAACCATCGTCAATCAGCCACAATAAGATTACTAGTTTGAGATTACGCAGTTTTATGATGGTGTATACATACAGTATTGTTACTTTCCGAGTAATTTCTGCAGTTCCACTTAGTTCCGGTATCAAAACTAATATTCTTCGCCTAATAGTATTTTTTATATGTAAGATGGGAAACTCCAAGTTGATCTACAGATAATGAAAATTGTAAGCAACATCACCTTCTTTCAACATTACAAAAAATTATCGAAAATAATCTACAAGCAAAATAAGTCATCAAACGCCTAAAGAGTCAAGATCGTTACTGCATACAAAAATGATGGGATATTTAAGCAACCATTATCGACGTAATGACATACAGTGTAATTTCGCATGGATAGCAAAGACTCTCCTAAATTGAACCACACACAAATGATTTTAAGCAACAAATCTGCAACATCAATCCCCAACCAGAGCAATAATCTATCCCTAGCAACAACTCTTGTTGCTCCGGAATAAAAAGTAGTCAGTTCAGTTGTGTAATCTTTATTCAGTGATTTAGCCAACACAATGACGACTGTCAACAATTCGCCTAAACGTTGAGCCACTAACTCTTGCAAAGACAAAAGAAAAAACCTGTGAAAATAAACAACCCTCATTAAAAATATTAAAATAAAATCAATTAAAAACAATAAAATACCTAGTGCACTACCTTGTATGAACTCTGCCATATCGTCTCGGTGCCACTGCCACTACTGAGGTGGCTGTCAGTTTTTGATGATAACCCTGAGTGCAAGGCTGCAGCAGATATGCTGACGCTACAACCTTCTATCAGCACCGCGTTGCCGCCGTGAGTCAGACAACCTAGACATCCGCTCTGCACTCACTTCTACCGGCAACTTCTCGGTAATCGTAATTTTCAAAAAGAGTGAAAATATGCAAACAGTACAACAAAACGCAAAAAATGTCGGTACTTTTGGACACAGAAGAAGACGTCCCCATAAATGGAACAGTCAATCGTTTTACTTTCTTCTAAATATAGTACAGTATATGGAAAAAGTCGTCAAACATTTCGAGCTTGAGTTTTGAGTGGATATATCCGTTTTGGGACCCCTGAAACCAAGAAATGCTTCTCGAAACATGTCTGTCCGTGTGTGTGGATGTGTGCATAGCTACAAACCACACCAGTGGTCTGATTTTGATGAAATTTGGTATGTAGGTACTATCCATTGTATCTTTGGTGGTAGGTATGCTAATCCATTGTATATTCAGGCGTTTTTTCTCATTTTTTTAATTTTTAATTTTGATGGTGATTTTTCCATAAAACCCATAAAATAACGGAAAATCGTATTTTCTCGAAAATGGCCCAATCGATTTTGATAAAACTTTAGTAGGTTATAGTCCTTTAAATTCTGAACAAAGATGTACAAATCCCATTTCCGTAAAAATTACGGTTCAAAATTTATTGTAACTTATGTTATTTTCCCATAAAACCCCATTAAATCAAGCAAAAATGGATTTTCAAAATAAATATGGTTCTGATTGAAATTCCTTATAATTCTAAACAAAATAGTGCCACCCCCCATTGCTGTAGAAATTACGGTTCAAAAGTTAATGCAATTGTTGTGATTTAACTATTAATATCATAGTTAATGGTTTTATCCATCCATAATATGTATGGATGCCTTCTGTACTCTACTTCAGTATCCAATCGTCTTTCCAGTGTTTCAGTAAATTGACAAAATTACAAATGTTTGTTGACGGCGGATGTTAATTGAGCAATTTTCACCTAATTCAGTGTTTCTACACCGGAAGTTAAAGAACAAAGCAACAACGCGTTGAGTCAACGGTTTGATATCAGTTGTTCACTCGGTTCCAAACCGTCAGAAATGTATCACTCTTTGTTTCCGTTGTGACAACACCGACTTGACTCAGGGACATGGTCCAACGGGGTTAAGTTAATACGTTATTTCATACATAGACATTTCTGGTATAGTGGTACGATAATATGCTCCCTTTCACAATTACTATTCTTCATCCTAGAACAGCTGATAATTAATTTTAAGGTTAGTTCCGTCCGATGTGTCGAAACTGGTATGGTAGTTTTCTATTTGGTTTTCTTTATAAAAAAAAAAAAAAAACACCTCCAAATTTCTGAATTTTTTAGACAATATTCCTGGTGCACAAGCTTTTCATATTGGCGAAGCAACTGAGAACAGGAGGCTACGTCGAAGGCTTCCTCAAGATCTATTGGATGAATGAAACCTAACGAAGATTAAATATTTTTATCTATAGTAAATTACGTTACTAGTCCTGAAAATAAGTGTTTACCGGACGAGTGTGGTCGTTCCAGGGTCGTTCCCGAGTTACCATACGAGTCCGGTAAACACATTTTGGACGAGTTACGTACGGTAGTTTACGCCATACTACTAAATCTGTACAAATTCTTACATATTACCACCAAAATCAGCTGATTGGTGTCCGGTAAAACTCATTGCAGTACAGTATTAACGCAATGAAACCCCATTTGATTAAGCTGGCGGCAAACAGCTGTTTTCTGGACTAAATCCTTGCGTGGGAAGTTCGTCAAAATAGAGTAATGTGGCGTAAAATTAATTATGTTACAGGGTGTCTCAGGTCTGGGCGAACCCACCACGTTCTTATTGTTATTTTCTGTTTATTTTGTTAACAATTCTGTGAATAATGTCATCATTGAACCAGAAATAAATGCTGTAAACAAATCTATTTGGTTAAAAATTTTTAGTTTTAAACAAATAAAACCCCCACCGTACCTATCCAGCAGAATAAGCAAATTTCCTTTCGTCCGATTATAGTTTCCCTAGTTTCTCACATAATCTCCTTTAAAATGTCAGAACGATTCGCTATTTAAATAAAATTGGTTTAAAGAATATTCAGGTTTGCTGTTACAGGGAAAGCAATAGAGTTAGTGAAATGTTGTTTCGTAATGGATAAATGTTCTAAAGTTGGTCAAAATAAGTCCATAAACAAGCAAACTACAACAGTTCACTTATATAAGCATACCAAGGGAATTTTAATTTTTTTCTCCATAACCATAATGCGTAGCTTTACAAATACATTACACTGTCATGTCCTTTCGTGTATTGCCAACGTAACAGATGCATGTACCTCCCATATGTCGTGAGTTCTCCCTTATTCTCGGTAATGTTGGCAATAAGCCTGTCTAATGTCTAGGAGCGACAATGCTAAGCTCTTTACAGTAATAAAGCGAGCTTACGTTAGACAAATGGATCGGACAACTACACTACCGCAGTTTAGCAGAACATTGCTCATTTTGTGAGTCAGTAAAAAGAATTTTGTAAAAATTTTTTGAATTTTGAGGGCAAAAGTTAAATATTTTGAGTAAACCCTTTGAAAAATCAGATTGTTGAAAAGAAACAAAAGATTGATGAAACTCGAAGGCAAACCTCGCTTAACAATAATAGAAAAATATTCGTAGATTTGTATTCTTTATTTACTCAAAAAGCGTAAAAACTGTCTTTTCTCATATTTGTTTGCCAAAAAATATTAAACCCTACGTTGCATAATAAGTATTCACTTTCTAAGCTCAGTGTACTTTTGTATTGTAGGCTACCATTTGGATGACTTTACACTACTAATTCGATTGCAGGTATGACGTAATAGATAGTCAAAAGTGATTTAAAGGATGTGCATACACCATGATGGATATCATTTGTTAACGTTGAATAATTTTACTCCTTTTCCAGACCTTTTTATTTCAATTCTTCGTCTCGTATTGTAAAATATTCGCTTTAGTCTCTTGATTTAGTATAAGTGAAACAGCTCTATATAACTATATTTATAGTAAAGAGTAGTCGCATTCACATATTTTATTTGTAATTGTTACCTGGCCATCGCTAGAGTAATCGCATTCTAGTAATGACAACCAAATTAATTTAGTTTGCAAACTAATAAAGAGCTTTAAACCACTCTTATTATGTATTCTGATCAAAACAAAACATTAAGGGCAGATGAAACACAAGGGTTGAACACAGTGGGGAATGTTAAAGCAGACTACATAAATCATATAAGCGAAAAAATGGAGGGAAAAATCAACCCCTTGGCTCCAATTTCCCGCCGGATTCCAGGCTTTGACAGACGCCATTGCGGCACCCTAGGTGTGAAAGTGTGTTTGCTCACCTGATGCCGCCAAAAGGACCGCCTCCGAGACCGATTTGGCGCGAAACCGATCTCTTCCTCTAAATTATAAATAATTCGGAGAACATTATTAGCATTGTTTATTTGAAAGGCGGTGGAAATGACGATAAATCTTCGTCGCCACAGCTGCGAGATCACTCACACACGCGCACGTAAAAAACACGCACACACACAAACAGTCTGTCAGTTCGGGTTACGACAGGGTCACTTTGGGGCAGTGGTGGAAATGAAAACGATAGCTTGTTTTTGCCTCACGCTCAACACTAGCAACTGTGTTCCCTTTCGTACAATTTCCTGATACAGTAATTTAATAGTGATTACTGTAAATCATTATGGGGAAACAGTGAATTAATTTCTATAAGTCTCCGTAAACTACTTTTTGTTGATCTATACTCATTTATTTTATTTTTTTAAGGCAACGGTCCAAACCCTGGCCTTGAGCGTTGACGACCTGTGGGCTATTTGATAACCCAAATGGTACTGTACATGAGTCCATAAATGATCTCTCGTGATCGAACCAGCAACCTTAAGATTTGATGGTGAGCACAATAACCAATCGACTACTCAAACAATATTTTATACAGGATTTTGGTTTTTCAAAACCTCAAAAAGAAGTTTATGTATCTCATAAAATGTTACTACATTGTCTGGCTGTAGGTGTTATTATGGGTGTATATTGTATGCATAACCTTCTCTTCCGGCATTATTAGGTAAAATAACTATTTCACCCCTATAAGAAAAATTTACCTGATATGAACAACGATGTAAAAAACTAACTCAGTTGTTTATATTGTTGTAAACAAGATATACAGGGTGGCTGGTCATCAGTGTTACAAAATTTTTTTGGCGTAAGTACAAAGTAAATGCAGTGTAATGATGCATATAAAAGGTTCCAAGTCCAAAAATTAGCTTCCCAATGAATTAGTTTATGTTTTTCAAAAATAACTATGTTTTCAAACTTAATACAGCTATTTCTCAATTACCGGTAAATGGATTTGAGTAGACAATGTCATTTTCGTGTTCTACATTAAATTTTGAATAAGAATAATAGAAAATGACGGAGGTTTAGTTGTAAAAACCCCATTGTAAATAGATTCAAAGACAAAAATTAAGATGTTTCATAAAAATTTAAAAAACATTGGTCTATTGTATTTGTTCATACCCTGTATACAAGAAAGTGGCCGATTATGTTAAAAACTGCGCCATTTTATAAGCTTTCTAACCATATGCTACACTATTGAGGTTTAGATATTCTGTTGTTTGTTTTAGTGGTTTGAATACCAGAAAACAGGGTGTCTTTAACATTTAAAACATAGAAAGCCGGCATGTATTAAGCAAAAGTTGTATTTTTGTTTCAGCTTGAACAGTAAAAACAGTAAAAAAGTTCCCTGTTTTCTGGTATTCAAACCACTAAAACAAACAACAGAATATCTTAACCTCAATAGTGTAGCATATGGTTAGAAAGCTTATAAAATGGCGCAGTTTTTAACATAATCGGCCACTTTCTTGTATACAGGGTGTGAACAAATACAATAGAC